TCAGTGGATTCCTTTTCTTTTATTCTTTCTGCTTTCCGTGTCAGATGCATCCTTTTCATCCCTTTCAGTTTCATTATCAGCAAGAGGTGTAATGTCAGCACAACTGTCACCAACAGCCTGTGTGTTTGCCTGTGCTGTATCATCAGGTTCACAAGAATCCTCTCCTTCATCTTCTACTTTCTTGGTCAATGTATCTATAACCTTCAGAGGCTTAATTTAGGCTGGTCTGGTACCAAGAATGGCGTCCAGTTCTTCAAAAACTTACAAAGTTTCCTTCCCTTTCCACTTTTCTTCAGGTTTGATTTACACTCTCTGTATGTCCTCTTTAAGGTATGGATTCTCACTTTACATTGGTCAGATGTCCTGTTGAATCCTTTTGCACCCATTTCCGTGCGACAGTATTGTACACAGAAACATTGTTGCTTTGGGGTTTTCCAGTAATTCCTCTATACTGTTATCTTCCCATATTGCCAATAGGCATTTTGTTTCCTCGCCATTCCAAGCGAACCGCCTTTTGGCAATCGCTGAAGTTTCTTTCCGGTTCGCCATTGTCGTGTGTCTGTTTTAATGGAAGCTAGACATCAACTGACAGATATGTGACCAATAAGGCGCGTAAAGTTTAGGGCGGAAACTACCAAAATAGCCATTATGAAATCGAACGGGAAAAATACTCACCCTGAGTAAATTTGCTATGCGTTTATACGACCAGATTTGCTTAGGGTAGCAAAAAATAAGCATTTACTCACCGGTAGTAAAACATTTGCACCTGGTCTAGGCCAGGAGTATTTTTGCTTGGGGTAGTAAAATTTGCATATGTGTAATTGCGTTTATACGACCAAATATACTCATGTAAGCAAATTTACACACATGCAAAAAATAAACACATGTGGAAATGTCGCCGTATAAACAGGCCTTTAGTTTCATTATGAACTATGGAGTTACTCATCATTAAACCTTGTGTAAAAAGTATGTCTTTACAGGGTTCAACAAGGACTGAGGACGGTTTTTGATTAACTCCCGGCGCGGGTAGACAAGCCTGGGTTACTGAAGACCAATTCTAACCTGGATCTTCACGGGTAGACAAGCCTGGGTTACTGAAGACCAGTTCTAACCCGGATCTTCACAGGTAGACAAGCCTGGGTTACTGAAGACCAATTCTAACCCAGATCTTCATGGGTAGACAAGCCAGGGTTACTGAAGACCAATTCTAACCCGGATCATGACAGGTAGACAAGACTGGGTTACTGAAGACCAATTCTAACCCGGATCTTCATGGGTAGACAAGCCTTGGTTACTGAAGACCAATTCTAACCAAGATTTTCATGGGAGACAAGCCTGGGTTACTGAAGACCAATTCTAACCCGGTTCTTCACGGGTAGACAAGCCTGGGTTACTGAAGACCAATTCTAACCCAGATCTTCACAGGTAGACAAGCCTGGGTTACTGAAGACCAATTCTAACCCGGATCTTCACAGGTAGACAAGCCTGGGTTACTGAAGACCAATTCTAACCCGGATCTTCACGGGTAGACAAGCCTTGGTTACTGAAGACCAATTCTAACCCAGATTTTCATGGGAGACAAGCCTGGGTTACTGAAGACCAATTCTAACCCGGATCTTCACGGATAGACAAGCCTGGGTTACTGAAGACCAATTCTAACCCAGATCTTCACGGGGAGATGATTGGATGTAGCGACCAGATACCAATATGATATAAATCATATGGGTATTAATGTGCGGAATCTGATTTAGTTTATATTTTTGTGCGGAATCATACAAAACATTATTGTTAATATATTTCCATATTCCATTGTGAAGAAACCCACATTTGTTTTGTACGCCTCAAATTTTGACATAACACTGTTGTAGATGAACAAAATGGTTTCTGCCCTAAAAGAAACTGTATTGAACATTTGTATACTCTGTGTAATATGATACAAAACAGGGAAATAAGTAAGCAGAGAACATTTGTGTTTTGTGGACTTAAACAAAGCCTTTGATACTGTTAACAGGTCCTGTTTATGGTACAAACTGATGAAGATTGGAATCCATGGAAAAATACTCAGTGCTATCCAGAAGATGTATAATGATGTCAACAGTCAAGTTGCAATTAATGAAGTTTACACATCTCCATTCTCTGTATCACTGGGAGTTAAACAGGGATGTAAGATGTCCCCAACCTTGTTTTCAATCGAAATCAATGACCTTGCAGAAGAAATAAATCATTTACAATGTGGGATATAGTATAAAGATTCAATGCTCTCCTTGTTATTTTATGCAGATGATGTTGCTTTTATTGCTCCAAATGAAGAATCTATTCAGAAAATGCTGAATGTTTTATCTGTGTGGTGTTCTAAATGGAGACTGGTTATTAATATAAGTAAGACTAGAGTTGTTCATTTTAGACCAAGTTCATGTACCCCAATCAACTAAATATTCCACTGTGGCGAAGAGGAAGTGTCCTTAATAAATTGCTATAGATACCTTGGAATAAGGCAACATGAGGATTTAGACAGGAAGAAATCTGTAAAAGAACTGTAAAGCTGCAAGCCGAGCACTATCTGCAATGTATTTTAAGTTCAAGAGTGCTGGAGGTCTGTGCTATGAAGTTTTTACTACTCTGTACAATAGACTGGTGGAACTATTCTCTTCTATTCTATGTTTTCAAGGAAATCCAATATGTACAAAATAAAGCGTGTGGATACTACCTTGGAACAGGAACTAATTGCAGCAACGTAGCTATTGGAGGGGATATGGGCTGAACATCCTGCTCTGTGATGCAACAAATTGAACTATATAGATTATTCTTCCGTGTTAAAATATGTCTGAATCACGTACAGCGCACAAGATATACCGGTATGACTGGTCCTGTAAAATTTAGAAGCCTTGGATTAACAAAACTATCAAGTCCCTTCACAAATTGAATGCTCAGTGGATTATTACTGAAAACTGGAGTGTACAGAAAATAAATACAGTTCTTAAAAGAATTATTAACTTGCCAAGACAGCTTGGAGTGGTCTCAGAAAGTGTGGGGTGACACGGGGGAAAATGAATGGTAATAAACTAAGAACGTATCGATGTTTTAAATATGACCCTGTTGTTGGCCCTTATGTAAAACGTGTTTCGAAAAGAGAAGAAAGAAGTATTCTTGCCAAGTTCCGGAGTGGTTGTCTCCCTTTAGCTATAGGCACTGGCCGTTATACCAAGCCTCCTATTCCGCTGGAAAACAGAATTTGCAGATATTGCAATAATACAAATACCATTGAAGATGAACGGCATTTTGTCAGTAAATTGTGAATTCTATTCAGACCTGAAGTTTACCCTGTGGAATGAAGCGAGACAATAAACCCATCCTTTGTAGATTATAATGAAGAAATGAAGTTTATTTTCTTGCTGCAGTGTGATATTTTACAGCCACTTCTAGCAAGTACACAACAACAATGTGCAAGAGACTACTCACCCTATTTTTAATATATATTTCGTATGTTTTTAATGTGAAAATATCTTCATCACTATTTATTGTTTTATATGTAAAAAGTGTCTCAGGCCACGGGGCCGGACGTCTGTTCGCATTTTTATGTACTTTTTGCTATGTACATTTTAATATGTTTTACTCTCTCTCTGTCTGTCTGTCTGTCTGTACACATTGGTGCGTCAGTTCTTATCGGGGAATAAAAGGCGAGTGTTTTCAGCATACTATGTACTTCACACAGAATGAAAGTGTGGCAGTTTCAAAGTTTATGCTATGAAATTGTTACACGTTGACCAGTTACTTCAGTAACTCTCAAGCACTTCAACAATCTGGCAGTTTTACACTGCTGTGTATTTCCTGGTGAGTCTTCCTTCAGCACTGTAGTATGGTGTGGTTTATCAGGTTAATCAGTATATCCCTGTGATATGTAAATATAAAATAGATGTTGGGTTCCAAGTGTAAAACATTGTATATGTGGACAGTGAATGACAGCCAAAGTCCTAACAGAAGCACTACTTTGGGGAGCTCTGTGTTCTCCCTGTCCCATTTGATTTAGACACACCTCGTCCAGCCAAAGTTCTAACAGAAGCACTACTCTGGGTAGCCAAAGTTCCAACAGAAGCACTACTCTGGGTAGCCAAAGTTCCAACAGAAGCACTACTCTGGGTAGCCAAAGTTCCAACAGAAGCACTACTCTGGGTAGCCAAAGTTCCAACAGAAGCACTACTCTGGGAAGCTCTGTGTTCTCCCTGTATCCACTGTAGGAAAGATAGCCCGTCCCAACGTCCGAGACAGGTGAATTTTGTGGAGGACGGGTTAAAAAAATATCTAGTCCGTCCTCATGTCGGGTCAATTTTAGCAAACCAATGACATATATATAATGATTATAACCTTTTTGAATATTTACTGCCGAAGGTGTTTTATTTATATTTGGAGGACAGGCTAGATTTTGGCAGGACTGGTAAAAAATTTGACCTGCCAGTCCTGTGGACAGGCTAGATTTTCTACATCTTTCCTACACTGCTGTATCATCAGGTTTAGACACTCCTCGTCCTTATACTCCAGAGTCAGTGCAGCCAAGTTCGTAACGGAAGAAGCCTTAGGCTTTGATGCTGTTTGGTGATCTTATTAATGGATTCACAGATCAGATATCGGTGCTATCGCAGGACAAACCCGGCAAGCAGGGCGTCCTCTCCAAGGAGAGCTAGGTTGGAGCACCGAAGACACGGCCTGTACACAATTAGGTCCATGCAGCCTCTCAGAGATGTCTGTGTTCTGCCGTCATTGGGAGACTTCCAGTTGATAATGAACCAGCTGTACTAAGTACATGCTTGGAACAGAATGTGCAGAGTCAACCTGTCATGTGTACTCACAGCTGTGTGTGCTTCTTCTTGATGTGACTACAGCATCCTCCAAACCAACACTGAATCTGGTTCTGGTTCAGCACGGCGGCACCAACATGTCAACATAGACCCACACCAGTGTATCGCTTGTTGTTACCGAACCAAAATAATCAATAAGAAAGTAAAGAAATAAACACAATTTTATATACAGACATTCCCCAGCTGAGGCCTATTTACAGCATACAGTAAATCAATATATGACCTGTGTATAAACTTCCTATATGGACATGTTGAAAATTCACGATGTCAACAATATCACTAATTGGAGTAATACCTTTACTACAATTTCATCTGTGTGGATTGACATAACTTGGGAGTGAAAACATGATATAACATGCACTTTAAGTTATTGACAACAGTTTAAAGAAAAGGATTGCATAATTTATCACATGTCCAAATGGACAGGAAAGGTATGGAGAGACAATGTACTAAGTTTGCCTGTAATGGCGGAATCTGTCTGAAACACTTCCAACACAATGAGTAGTTGTAGCTTGATGTAGGACACATTCTCACTGTAAAGATACATTCACATCCTCAAAAGCAAGATGAAGATCTCCAATAAAACCAATCTGAATTCATTCCCTTTCTGGACATCCTAGAATACATCGATCACTCTCCACCCAAACACTGACAACGTTAGAAAATAATCTACCAAAAACCAACATTCTATGATCCTAACACGGCTTTCACTGTCATGACAAATTTCATATCTGCTATTCAGAGATAATTCCAAACAACCAGAATTATACCCAAAGATTATTTAATATAAACACTTAAGTTAGCCTGAAATCATTCAGCAAAATTTATGCTTAGATCAACATGTATCTTAAGATATGACTGACAGAGTTGATTCAAGATATTCAACTGATACTTATTTCCTAAAATAACTTTCTCCTAAGTTGCTGGCGTTGATTAAAACCAGCCATATTTCTTGGTCTTCCTCTCCTCATCCTTGTATTCCTCCTCTGTCTCCAGGTACTCATCCCGATCATACCCCTCCGTGATGTCCGCCTCCTCTCCACGTGCAACCACAGACTGGGGCTGCTGAGGGAGGTTCCGCATTGCCGCCTCCAATGATAGCACATTCAGCTTGTCTCCCTTTTCACTTAGGAGTCCGAAACCCTTCAACAATTTCACCGCCTCAGAGGAGTCAAACTCAATCTTCACCCCAGTCTTCTTACTGATGAAATGCTCTGCCATCTTCTCAACCTGGATGTCTGTTATTCCACCTGAAAAAAAAGAGATAAGTTGCTACCACAGTTACTCTTGATATTACAAATTCCTAAATATATTCCTATTTCAAAGTAATTCTCATATTGGAGTAAGCATTTTCTTTACATCTCACCCAATCACAATCCCTTTAAAGTGTACCCTTCCACATGTGTGCTTCCATGGGTGAGACCCATACCTTCCCTAGTCAAGTCGTTCTCTTCTAAGAGCTAACCTGGCTAGGAACCTGGGGCCAGCTGAGTGGGTGTAATCCATATGCCACAGAGTATTTATTTAAAGTTTTACATTTATCAGATATTCGGTATGTATATAGGTTTATCCTACCTCACATATTGAATTTAACCAATGGCTTAAGGTGGACAGAGATTCCAAGACAATTAGAGATGGATACATGGAATATGACATCAAACTTGTTCAGTCCCCACAAAGAAGACTGGAGCTGAAGACTGTCATAGAACCATAGAGGGGGCATCAGTGGTAGATGCCAGCATTCATACTGTATGAGGCCTGACAGCTGTTGAGCCTCAGTAGGAGTAAGTGTTGAGGATCACTGAGAGGAGAGGAGGGATGCTAAACAACCTACCTGGTAGGCCTGACAGCAAGCAGTGCTGTTGAGCCTCAGTAGGAGTAAGTGTTGAGGATCACTGAGAGGAGAGCAGGGATGCTAAACAACCTACCTGGTAGGCCTGGCAGCAAGCAGTGCTGTTGAGCCTCAGTAGGAGTAAGTGTTGAGGATCACTGAGAGGAGTGGAGGGATGCTAAACAACCTACCTGGTAAACCTGACAGCAAGCAGTGCTGTTGAGCCTCAGTAGGAGTAAGTGTTGAGGATCACTGAGAGGAGAGCAGGGATGCTAAACAACCTACCTGGTAGGCCTGGCAGCAAGCAGTGCTGTTGAGCCTCAGTAGGAGTAAGTGTTGAGGATCACTGAGAGGAGTGGAGGGATGCTAAACAACCTACCTGGTAGGCCTGACAGCAAGCAGTGCTGTTGAGCCTCAGTAGGAGTAAGTGTTGAGGATCACTGAGAGGAGTGGAGGGATGCTAAACAACCTACCTGGTAAACCTGACAGCAAGCAGTGCTGTTGAGCCTCAGTAGGAGTAAGTGTTGAGGATCACTGAGAGGAGAGGAGGGATGCTAAACAACCTACCTGGTAAACCTGACAGCAAGCAGTGCTGTTGAGCCTCAGTAGGAGTAAGTGTGTGAGGATCACTGAGAGGAGTGGAGGGATGCTAAACAACCTACCTGGTAGGCCTGACAGCAAGCAGTGCTGTTGAGCCTCAGTAGGAGTAAGTGTTGAGGATCACTGAGAGGAGTGGAGGGATGCTAAACAACCTACCTGGTAAACCTGACAGCAAGCAGTGCTGTTGAGCCTCAGTAGGAGTAAGTGTTGAGGATCACTGAGAGGAGAGGAGGGATGCTAAACAACCTACCTGGTAGGCCTGACAGCAAGCAGTGCTGTTGAGCCTCAGTAGGAGTAAGTGTTGAGGATCACTGAGAGGAGAGGAGGGATGCTAAACAACCTACCTGGTAAACCTGACAGCAAGCAGTGCTGTTGAGCCTCAGTAGGAGTAAGTGTTGAGGATCACTGAGAGGAGAGGAGGGATGCTAAACAACCTACCTGGTAGGCCTGACAGCAAGCAGTGCTGTTGAGCCTCAGTAGGAGTAAGTGTTGAGGATCACTGAGAGGAGTGGAGGGATGCTAAACAACCTACCTGGTAAACCTGACAGCAAGCAGTGCTGTTGAGCCTCAGTAGGAGTAAGTGTTGAGGATCACTGAGAGGAGTGGAGGGATGCTAAACAACCTACCTGGTAAACCTGACAGCAAGCAGTGCTGTTGAGCCTCAGTAGGAGTAAGTGTTGAGGATCACTGAGAGAGAGAGGGATGCTAAACAACCTACCTGGTAGGCCTGGCAGCAAGCAGTGCTGTTGAGCCTCAGTAGGAGTAAGTGTTGAGGATCACTGAGAGGAGTGGAGGGATGCTAAACAACCTACCTGGTAAGCCTGACAGCAAGCAGTGCTGTTGAGCCTCAGTAGGAGTAAGTGTTGAGGATCACTGAGAGGAGAGGAGGGATGCTAAACAACCTACCTGGTAAACCTGACAGCAAGCAGTGCTGTTGAGCCTCAGTAGGAGTAAGTGTTGAGGATCACTGAGAGGAGTGGAGGGATGCTAAACAACCTACCTGGTAAACCTGACAGCAAGCAGTGCTGTTGAGCCTCAGTAGGAGTAAGTGTTGAGGATCACTGAGAGGAGAGCAGGGATGCTAAACAACCTACCTGGTAGGCCTGACAGCAAGCAGTGCTGTTGAGCCTCAGTAGGAGTAAGTGTTGAGGATCACTGAGAGGAGTGGAGGGATGCTAAACAACCTACCTGGTAAACCTGACAGCAAGCAGTGCTGTTGAGCCTCAGTAGGAGTAAGTGTTGAGGATCACTGAGAGGAGAGCAGGGATGCTAAACAACCTACCTGGTAGGCCTGACAGCAAGCAGTGCTGTTGAGCCTCAGTAGGAGTAAGTGTTGAGGATCACTGAGAGGAGAGCAGGGATGCTAAACAACCTACCTGGTAGGCCTGACAGCAAGCAGTGCTGTTGAGCCTCAGTAGGAGTAAGTGTTGAGGATCACTGAGAGGAGAGCAGGGATGCTAAACAACCTACCTGGTAGGCCTGACAGCAAGCAGTGCTGTTGAGCCTCAGTAGGAGTAAGTGTTGAGGATCACTGAGAGGAGAGGAGGGATGCTAAACAACCTACCTGGTAGGCCCTGACAGCAAGCAGTGCTGTTGAGCCTCAGTAGGAGTAAGTGTTGAGGATCACTGAGAGGAGAGCAGGGATGCTAAACAACCTACCTGGTAGGCCTGACAGCAAGCAGTGCTGTTGAGCCTCAGTAGGAGTAAGTGTTGAGGATCACTGAGAGGAGAGGAGGATGCTAAACAACCTACCTGGTAAACCTGACAGCAAGCAGTGCTGTTGAGCCTCAGTAGGAGTAAGTGTTGAGGATCACTGAGAGGAGAGCAGGGATGCTAAACAACCTACCTGGTAGGCCTGACAGCAAGCAGTGCTGTTGAGCCTCAGTAGGAGTAAGTGTTGAGGATCACTGAGAGGAGAGGAGGGATGCTAAACAACCTACCTGGTAGGCCTGACAGCAAGCAGTGCTGTTGAGCCTCAGTAGGAGTAAGTGTTGAGGATCACTGAGAGGAGAGGGAGGGATGCTAAACAACCTACCTGGTAGGCCTGACAGCAAGCAGTGCTGTTGAGCCTCAGTAGGAGTAAGTGTTGAGGATCACTGAGAGGAGAGGAGGGATGCTAAACAACCTACCTGGTAGGCCTGACAGCAAGCAGTGCTGTTGAGCCTCAGTAGGAGTAAGTGTTGAGGATCACTGAGAGGAGAGGAGGGATGCTAAACAACCTACCTGGTAGGCCTGACAGCAAGCAGTGCTGTTGAGCCTCAGTAGGAGTAAGTGTTGAGGATCACTGAGAGGAGAGCAGGGATGCTAAACAACCTACCTGGTAGGCCTGACAGCAAGCAGTGCTGTTGAGCCTCAGTAGGAGTAAGTGTTGAGGATCACTGAGAGGAGAGGAGGGATGCTAAACAACCTACCTGGTAGGCCTGACAGCAAGCAGTGCTGTTGAGCCTCAGTAGGAGTAAGTGTTGAGGATCACTGAGAGGAGAGCAGGGATGCTAAACAACCTACCTGGTAGGCCTGACAGCAAGCAGTGCTGTTGAGCCTCAGTAGGAGTAAGTGTTGAGGATCACTGAGAGGAGAGCAGGGATGCTAAACAACCTACCTGGTAGGCCTGACAGCAAGCAGTGCTGTTGAGCCTCAGTAGGAGTAAGTGTTGAGGATCACTGAGAGGAGAGCAGGGATGGTAAACAACCTACCTGGTAAACCTGACAGCAAGCAGTGCTGTTGAGCCTCAGTAGGAGTAAGTGTTGAGGATCACTGAGAGGAGAGCAGGGATGGTAAACAACCTACCTGGTAGGCCTGGCAGCTGATTCTTGACAATGTTATCCCATCATACTCAACACAGGAATCTCACTGATCCTTGCTACAGTAGCAAGAGTATAAAGTCTATTCTGACTTCTAATCCTGGAGACGTTTGTAATTAGCCACGGCAAAAAGCTGTAGTATGTCCCCAGGATGCTAAATATCTTGATCATCTTGCAGATAAAATCAGAGTCGGAAGTTCTGCCACTGTGGACATCTTGATGCCAGGAGAGATGCCAGGAGAGATGACAGATTTGTTGACAGCCAAGTATGTGGTGAGGGTTGATCCCTTTAGCTTCCTCCAAACCGTCAAGTGCAGATATTCACCTGTTGTGTTGAAGCCTTAGCAGGAAATGCAGTCCTGACAGAACAATACTCCTTCTGGATTATTCAGACTGCTTATCATACTGTCCTTTGTTGCCATATACCTGCTTCCTTTGCCACTAAGCGAATTGTTCCTGAAGTTATTTGTCTCTCTTGACTCAGAGTTGCAGGGGCTCAGCAATGGCTGTCGTCTCTGCCTCCGAAGATATTTATCGACTTATAAATTCTAAAGACGCAGAAGCACCATCAACACCTGGAGCTGGTTACCCTGCTCCACTTCTCCTTCAATCACTTGTATGGCATTATTGAACAATGTGAAAGAATAAAAGAGTTACGATGAAGGCCACCCACTGAATCCTGGGATTCGGGTGCGGTGCTCCGTTCTGGGATAGTAGGTCCGGTTGAAAGGGTAATAGTACAGGAGGCTGAGCCAGAAACCTTAGTAGTACCAGAAACCATGTTTGAGCTGACCAAAGAGGTGCAAGGAGCACAAGCAGTCGAGCTGGTTTGGTGGCAAGCTGCGAGAGGACCTTGGGAATCAGGGGTATTGGTGGGAATGCCCACAGAACCCGCTACGTCCAATCGAGCTGGAAAACGTCCGAGGCGATGGCTCTTTGATCTGGTATCCGAGAGCAAAACACCGGAATCTGGTTCGTCCCTCCAGGAGCAAACAGATCCACCTGGAATGACCCGAAC